CACACACAACCATTAAACTCCCCCTGAGCAACAAAACCAGGTGGTTGCTCCATATAAACTTCTTCCTCAAGATCACCGTGGAGAAAAGCATTCTTAATGTCTAACTGATAAAGAGGCCAATGACGTACAACAACCATGGACAAAAAGAGACGAACAGATGCTACTTTAGCCACGGGAGAGAAAGTATAACTATAATCAAGCCCAAAATCTGAGTATATCCTTTTGCAACTAGACGAGCCTTAAGCCGATCAACCTGGCCATCCGTGCCGACTTTGACTGCATAAACCCAACGACAACCAATAGTAGACTTACCTGCAGGAAGAGGAACAAGCTCCCAAGTGCCACTCGCATGTAAAGCAGACATCTCGTCAATCATAACACATCGCCATCCTTGATGAGATAGTGCCTCACTTGTAGACTTAGGGATAGAAACAGTGGACAAAGAAGATATAAAGGCATAATGAGGTGACGACAGANACAACCGGAGCTGTAGGTGGTGGAGCTACAACTGGAGCGGTAGGTGGTGGAGCTGGAGTGACTGAATCTCCAAAAGATGAAACTGGTAGTACCTCAGAAATATCTAAGTGATGACCTAAACCTGTAAAGTATGATTGGGTTTCAAAGAATGTAACATCAGCGGACATAAGGTACCGCTGGAGGTCAGGAGAGTAGCATCGATACCTCTTTTATGTTCTCGAGAAACTCAGAAATACGCACTTAAGAGCACGATGAGCTAACTTATCTGTTCCTGGAGTAAGGTTATGGACAAAACAAGTGCTTCCAAAGATACGGTGTGGAAGAGAGAACAAAGGTAAGTGGGGAAACATGACAGAGAATGGAACTTGATTCTGGATAGCTGAAGATGGCATACGATTAATAAGATAGCAAAATGTAAGAACTGCATCCCCCAAAAACGCAACGGAGCATGAGATTGTATGAGTAGGGTACAAGCAGTTTCAATAAGACGTCTATTCTTTCTTTCAGCTATCCCATTTTGTTGAGATGTGTACGGAAGAGACGTTTGATGAATAATCCCATGAGATTTCATAAACTGCTGAAATGGGGAAGACAAATACTCTCGGGGATTATCACTACGAAATGTGCGAATAGAAACCCCAAATTGATTTTGAATTTCAGCGTGGAAGGTCTGGAAAATAGAAAACAGCTCGGATCGAATTTTTTATCAAAAATATCCAAGTGCACCTGGAATAATCATCAAGGAAACTGACAAAGTAGCGGAATCCCAAGGTGGAACTGACCCGACTAGGACCCCAAACATCTGAATGGACTAAGGTAAAAGGTGACTCTGCTCGATTATCAAGACGCCGAGAGAAATGGGAGCGGGTATGCTTACCGAGCTGACATGACTCACACTCTAGAGCTGACAAGTGAGATAAACCAGATACCATTTTCTGAAGTTTTGACAAACTGGGATGTCCAACCGTTTATGTAATAAATCTGGTGAATCAGTAACAGGATAAGTTGTAGAAGGAAGACAAGGTGTGAGTCCATGTGATTTAGCAAGGATAAGGTAATAAAGTCCGTTTGATTCACGCCCGGTACCAATGATCCGCCCCGTACTGCGTTCCTGTATAAAAACATGGTCAGCAAGAAATAAAACAATGCATTTAAGTGATTTGGCCAAGTGACTAACAACTATGAGATTAAAAGGACTATTGGGAACATAAAGGACTTAATCTAAAGGTAAGGAACGAAGTGGGCTTGCTTGACCTATTGCAGTTGCCATGGTTTGAGACCCATTGGCCATTGTGACTTTTGGAAGAGATTGAGAATACGAAATAGTAGTGAAAAGAGATTTGTTACCAGAAATATGATCTGATGCACCTGAATCAATGACCCAAGACTCAGAGGATGAAGATTGGGAGAAACAAGTCACGCTATTACCTGTTTGAACAACAGAAGTTATCTCAGAAGATATCTGCTTACATGCTTTATACTGAAGGAACTCAATATACTCTGTTAAAGAAACCATCCTACTATTCAAAGCATCGGTTCTCATGTTGCTACAATTTGTAGTAGTAGGGTTAACTTTAAATAGTGGAAATAAGAAACTCCTGTGAGAAAACTGAAGAAATAGCTTGAAAAATACTGTTTACAGCAGGAAAACAGAATACTGTTCTGTGTCGGAAACACTGTAGCTCGCCGGAAAATTCCAAAGTTGTCGGAATTTGTCGTAACCAGGATGGATAGACTCGGAATTCCTTTGCGAGCAAGCTGTCCTGAAGAAATGTTTTCAAAAAATGGCCGGAAAGGACATTGTTCACGCCGGAAAATATAAAAGTGGTCAGAATTTGATTTGAATTAGATGGGTAGAGGCTCGGAATTTTGAGGAGAGCACACTGTCCTGAAGAAGCTTCGCGAAAAAATGGCCGGAAAGTGGTCAGAACCCTCGCCGGAAAAGTTGTTGCCGGCACGTGGAGGAGCGTGGCGGCTTTTCTGCCGGATAAAATTTTAGGGATTGGTCGTCGGAGGGTGATCTACCTCGTGGTGGTGTTGGTTTTAGCACAACACCGACAGAAAGTGACTTTCACTCAGACAAGCCTTAGGTCACCGGAAATATTGCACGATGACTAAGTTCTTTCTTCCCGGTTAACGCTAGAATGACGCACATCGATCTTTTCTCACTAATGCTCTGATACCATGTGAGAAGGCACGGGAGAAAATATGTTATTGATATTGGATGATAAATACAATACAAGAGGTCCCTATTTATAGCTATACACTACAAGGAGATATTACTCCTCTTCCAATGTGGGACAAGACTACATATACATATCTGTAAACTAATGGAAACTTTCTCACAAACAACTAGGTGGCAGCAACAATGGTGCTTAAGATAGAAAATGGGAAGATGAAGAAGAGATGTTTTAATTGTAATTTCTAATATATTTTTTTCCTTTTAAAGTCAATGACACGTGTCACGACCCTATTAGGGCGTGACTTTCACGTTATCTGAAAAATTGGTCAAGCACAAAAGTGGTGTGTCTTAGACACTCTTTTGAAAGGTTGAGTGTAAAAGGTTTTCCGTGAACAAGAGGTGTGTAACAGGGATTTCGCTGCAAGGTCGATGGGTAAACTATGTATTTTGCCTATAACAATCTTTATATTTTTATCCACTGAATAACAATTCATGCATTAAAATCCCTCATTACTAGTCCGTGACCAAAAACCCCATAGTTTCTTGGTTGCTTGAGAGAGTTGGGCAATTTATGGGAAGATCATGTGTATCCTCTGTTTTCCATTTGTTTCTTGTAGAAAAGCTTATCCAATATCTCCTACTTTTTTCTAAATGGTTTAAGCTTGTTGCTGCTTACAAGCATTTTGTATTACCCCTTCTATTTTTACCTTTTTTCCCATGCACATAGTAGTTTTGGACAATATTCGGCTTTTGCTAATTTCTTAGTGTCTGTCTTATTGTTGTTCAGTTTACGCTGATGGAAGTATTTGCTTGGACATCTTGCAAAATCAGTGGAGTCCCATATATGATGTAGCTGCTATACTGACTTCAATCCAGGTATTTTGAGGTTTTTTAAGTGCAACATTATTCCTCCTTTTTTAGATAATCTTAAAACCAATTAGATTAATATGACCTTTCATATTTAAAATATATTTTCTGGGCTCAGGGGTGGGGTTGGAGAGATATGTATTCCAAGCACACTAACAGACAGCACTCAAATGATTAAAACCCTGGTTACAGTTGGCATTTATATTAACATGTTAAGGACTGCTTTGATTTAATACCTAGTTCAACTCTATAGTTGTGAACTATTCTCCTACTTCATTTTTTGGTGCCATCTCTATTTATCAGTAAGAGCATGATTCTTCACCGGTCAGGTATTTTCCATCTATTGCTCCAGTAAAGCACAGTTCTGTATGAGTTCCCCTTATGTTCTCATTTCTCTCTTTGAAGTGAGGTGTGAGGGATAGCATACAATGAAGAGAAATAAATATATAGTATTTGGGATAAGTTGGGAAAGCAGGCCTACTTGGTTTAAAATAGCTGATGAAGTATACTAATAGATGCCAATCTACTATGTTTAATGTGATTAATTAAAGAAATGATAAAAAAAAATGGAGGAAAAACAATAATAAAGGTACTGTAGCTTCCCCCGAAGATGAGATTTGTGTCCAAAATGTACTTCTGATGCTTATACTCAAATTTATGATTCTCCCTTAAGGTCATTCCTAGGTTCTCCTGCACGTTTATGAACATCTGTGTAATTTTCATCATCCAGTCTTTCTTCATCTTGTTTAAGTTCTATTTGTTTCAAGCAAATTTCTTCACAATATAAGTAATCACCTAAGAAACTCTTATATGAAGATTTGTGTAATTTTCATCATCCAGTACTCCATGGAAGTCTTTCTTCATCTTGTTTAAGTTCTAGTTGTTTCAAGCAAAAAATTTTACAATTTAAGTTCTCACCTAAGAAACTCTTAAAGGTGCCCCTTTTTCTTACCTGCGAAATATGAAATTATGTGCCCATTTTTCTTGCTTGCTAAATATAAAAATAGGTGGTCGTCTTTCTTACCTGCTTAGAAAAAAATAATGCACTTGCTGCTTTTGTAAAAGAGAGAGCCCTACAAGCTATTAGCATCTTTGCTATTGATTAGACCCCTTACATGTGATTTTTCCTAGTGCAGTCTTTGCTCTGTGATCCAAATCCTAACTCGCCAGCTAATTCAGAAGCAGCACGCATGTTCAGTGAGAACAAGCGCGAATACAACAGGAAGGTGCGCGAGATTGTTGAACAGAGCTGGACAGCAGACTGACATCTCCCGCACTCTTAATCTGTTACAGCAAATTATCCTGTCTCATACTGAAATTGTTCTAGTCTTGTCACTACATTAATAACTAATGTAGTAGGACATTTTCCTTTTTATATGTTCTTGGGGACTCTCGAGTGTGTTAAATCATGTTATGTTGCTCAACTACGAATGGACTATGTACATATGATTTCTTGTATTATCCAACTGCAGTGAAATTGTATGAAGGTTGTTTCCATTGTTGTTTAAAGAATATCGATTCCTGTAAATCAATTTAATTCCATTGAGGACGCAAAATGGCACTATTGCTTGTGCATCAGTTGTACCCTCAAGTAAGATTGGAAATTGTTTGCCAGTCTGAGATGTAAGATCCACGTTCCACATCTTCTTTGCTACTAGTTTATATTTCAGGGCATGAAGTCTATAAATATATAGTGGAAAGTGCAGGATCACTAATGTAGATACAAACCGATATTGGCTTTTGCCGTGCAACTTAGTGGAGTGGTGTGGACATCTTTTTCAGACTGGGTTTACTTTTGTGAACAAATGTTATAAGGTTGTGCAGGGAAGCATGATGTTTGTTTGCCCGTTCTATGTGATCATAGAAATAGAAGGATCCCCCTAGTTTTAAGCACAATGTGCTTTGTTTCATTTTTCTTGATCATAAAACTTTGTTTAGTTGATTTGATAGAATGAAAACAGGTAATTGCTACTTTGGGAGAACCTTGGGATGGAAACAGGTAATTGCTACTTTTTCAACTTGATAGAATGATAAACTATCTTGGATGTCTGGCTACATGATTTGAAGTTTACTTTTGGCTTAACTTTTTGCTTTCTTTTTTATTTTCCTTATTTACATGATGCTGTTCATCAAGTCATTAACGCCGAGATTGAGCTCTTGGTGCTGTTATATCAACAAGGTTTTGGAACACGAGTTTGGATTTTTACCCAATAGTTTATCAAATTGAACAAATTAAACAGTGAACTGCATAGTTGGATCCAGGCGTGTAACTGGATAATGCTTCTTTGACTTGTTATCATGTTTCTGTTGGCCTGTGTGTGTAAGCTTGGCTGTTGGTTCCCATGTGGTAGAAAGTCTTATCCATAATATCAGCTTTGGCTTCTAAACAACTGAGTTGGTGAAGGGTAATCCTACTGTATAATCTATCTCATGGATCACGCACAGAGGGTGATGAAAAATAAGGTGGAAGCCGTGTGGGTTATAAATTGATGAGTGGGTTTTGAGTTGGCAGAGTTCATTCTAAAATGAATATCTAACTCTATTTATATTTGATTTGGCCTGCGCATCCATGGGGATGGGGTTCAACTCCAAAATACTGAGTTGTGTTTGACCCACGAACTGGTGGTTGGAACCGCCAATTGATGGAGGCGTTGATTTTGTCTTCTTGGATGTAGATACGCTTGTTCGTCATGCTTGCCAATTGATGGGGGTCTCTCATTTTGTACGCTTGAGGGAGAAAAATAAAACACCAATGCAACTGCAACAACAACTGTTGTGTTCGTTTAACGTGGTGGATCTAAAATTTCGATGCAATAGATTCTGAGTTTGGTGAGTGTTTCCTTCGGAATGGAAATCTACTCTAATGTATATGTATACGGTTAAAATTGGGTCCATCCGATTTTACTATTTGACCGAGACCGGGAGATTGCATCGAAGGACGGCCTCGTAACGGAACAGACTAAATCACGAGGACAAGGTATCGAGTTCAAAATCGAGGTATCTGTCGAGATCGAGGTTAGTAGCGATCGAAGCCGAATGAGACAGACATCGACCAGGATCGAAGATATCATAATAACAGAGAGGCGAGATATCCGTGACTGGTCGAGGATCACGACGCAAATCTCGGTGACTGGTCGAGGATCAGGGCGTAAATCTCGACACAGATCAAATCAGAAACGATTAATTAGCTAATCATAGGATTTTCTTCTGTAATTAGAATTATACAATAAGTGGAATTCCTCTACTATATAAAGGGGGTTCTAATCATTTGTAACACACTGTTGACGGGCATAAAATCAATACAATTCTCTTTCTCGTTCGCATTATTGTTCATCAGTTTATTACACTTTAATTGTTCTTGCATCAATCAGTTCGAGTGTGTCCAAACTCGAGGGCTGAGTTCCATTCTAACATCGATTTGCTTTACTTTATTGTTAATTTCTATTATTCATCCTCACATTTATCAATTGGTATTAGGTGAAATCACGTGTTCTTAAAACCACATTATAAGTTTAATTATTATCCAATTTCAAGGGTAAACAGTTTGGCGCCTACCGTGGAGCTGAGGATAATAGTGATTGTTTAATACTGATTTTGATAACACACACTGCTTTACACTTGTTCTCGTAAGAATTTTTGTTTTCAGGATAAACATGTCAAACTCGCAAGCATCGCCTACACATGGGGATAACGACCTCGGATTTCACGGGGAAAATGACAATATAGCCGCCCTTGGGATCGAGGTGCCTCAGGCTGACCTCGAGGGAGCACCAATTACAAATCTAGTCGATATCAATTCACATGTCACCCTAAATGCAAATTTGGGCATTGATCCCGAAGGTAGCGTACGCAGGGAAGTTCGATCAAGTGGTCGACGTACGCAGGGCGGAAAAGATAGTGGAGTTAGCCTCCAGTTGATATTCGAAATGTTACAGGCTCAACAAGCCGCTATAGCACAACTGCAAAATCAGCACCGAACACCGAGTAGGGTCGAACCAGAAGTCATCCACAGGGCCGAGCCTGTGACGGAAAGGTTAAATGCCAACGAATCGGGGACTGACCCCGCCATTACGAAAATGCTCGAGGAGCTCACTAAACGGATTGAATCGGGAGAAAAGAAAATCGAGGCAAATGACAAAAAAGTAGAGACATACAATTCCCGGGTTGACCAAATTCCGGGGGCACCGCCGATTCTAAAGGGTATGGATTTAAAGAAATTCGTACAAAAGCCTTTCCCTCCAAGTGCGGCACCGAAACCGATTCCAAAGAAATTACGAATGCTAGAAATTTCTAAGTACAATGGGACCACCGACCCTAATGAGCATGTCACTTCTTATACATGCGCAATAAAAGGGAATGACTTGGAAGACGACGATATTGAATCTGCTCTGCTGAAGAAATTTGGAGAAACCTTGTCGAAAGGAGCAATGATATGGTACCACAATTTGCCGCCTAATTCCATCGACTCCTTCGCCATACTTGCAGACTCCTTCGTAAAGGCATATGCCGGGGCAATAAAGGTTGCGACTAGGAAGTCGGACCTCTTTAAGGTGAAACAAAAAGACAACGAAATATTGAGGGAATTCGTATCTCGGTTCCAGATGGAACGCATGGAACTACCTCCGGTCACAGACGATTGGGTTGTTCAATCCTTTACTCAAGGTTTATACAAACGAAGTTCAGTGGCATCACGACACCTAAAGCAGAATTTAATTGAATATCTAGCGGTAACCTGGGCCGATGTACATAATCGGTACCAGTCAAAGATAGGGGTCGAGCATGATCAATTGGGGACCCTTTCCGGTTCTGCTTATCCGAACAGGCCCGTCGGCAGAATTCAAAGGGATATCGATAGAGAACCCCGGTCGAGCAGAGTATCGGTATCAACCATACAATGAAGATCGTAGAAACAACGGCCCGGGATGCCATCCCATCCGAAATGATCGAAGGAACGATCGAAGACACAGCTCTCGAGGGCTCATGAGCAAAAGTGGCTTCGATAAACATGCCAATTCCACAGAAGCACCAGATTATCAGAATACAACTTCAGCATCGACGCATCAGGTATTGTGACCGCCATTGGGAGAATCAAAGATACTAGATAGCCCAGACCCCTACAAACCGATCCATCCCAAAGGAACCCCAATCAAATATGCAAATACCATGGTACACATGGTCATAAAACCGAAGACTGCAGACAACTAAGGGAGGAGGTGGCCCATCTGTTCAACAAGGATCACCTTCGAGAATTCTTGAGCAACCGAGCTAAAAGCCATTTCAGAGACAAGGATGCAAACAGGAAAAACGAGCAGGAAGAACCACAACATGTGATTCACATGATCGTTGGCGGGGTCGATATTCCACGAAGGCCCGTGTTCAAACACACAAAAGTATCTATCACCAGGGAAAAACGAACTCGAGACTATGTGCCAGAAGGCACTTTATCATTCAATGACGAGGAAGTAGAAGGGATCTCACAACCCCACAATGATGCTTTGGTAATCTCTATCCTTATGAATAAAATTCAGGTTAAACGTGTTTTAATTGATCCAGGAAGTTCGGCCAATATTATTCGATCGAGGGTCGTGGAGCAGCTCGGCCTACAAGATCAGATCGTACCCACAGCTCGGGTTCTCAATGGCTTCAACATGGCGAGTGAAACAACTAAAGGTGAAATCATCCTACCAGTAAATGTAGCCGGAACTATTCAAGAAACAAAGTTCCATGTGATCGAGGGCGATATGAGATACAACGCACTGCTCGGAAGAACCTGGATTCACAACATGAGGGTGGTCCCCTCAACCCTTCACCAAATGCTGAAGTTCCCAACACCGGATGGGGGTAAAACGGTGTATGGAGAATAACATGCTGCCAAAGAAATGTTCGCGGTCGACGAAGTAACACCGGTATCGGCGCTTTCGTTGACAAAGGGATCGGAGTCCAAAGAAAAACAGAAGGCTAAATAGCAACCACAACCACTAGCCTCGACTCGGTCGGAGAAGCAGGGAACGGACGATGACGATGACGACTGGATACCTCGATCCTTCATAATTCCCGAAGATTCCGACGCCACCAAATCAACAGTCGAAGAGCTGGAGCAAGTCATACTTATCGAGCATCTACCCGATCGAAAGATATACCTGGGTACGGGGTTAACCCCCGAGCTCAGGGAAAAACTCATTAAATTTCTTACCAATAACATGGATTTTTTTGCTTGGTCCCATCTAGATATGACAGGGATCCCACCGGAGGTCACTACACATTGACTGAGCTTGGACCCGAAGTTCCGCCCAGTAAAACAAAAGAGAAGGCCCCAGTCCGAGGTAAAACATGCATTCATCAAGGACGAGGTAACCAAACATCTCAAAATAGGATCCATTAGTCGTAGTCCCTAAAAAGGGAAATAAATTTAGAATGTGCGTAGACTATAAAGATTTAAACA